TATATATATATATACAGTTATTCTCTTATCCGGATGTCCGCACGTTATTATCGTGCGGATCCTATTGTAAACAGGCAGGAAAACAGAGAGGGGTAGTACAAAATACACTGAGTCCGCACGATAATAACGTCCGGATGTCCGCATAAGAGAATTTCTGTATATATATCTCATACCAAATAAATTTACAGGACAAACATTTAAGAGAACATGTCTTGTTTGCTACCAACACTACAACACAAATATAGAGTGAATATGTAAAAGAAAAAAAAAAATGTTGGAGTTTTTTTAGGAAGAATTAACAAATTAAAAACAACGATAAAAATATGGAGATGCGGGGTATCGATCCCCGTACCTCTCGCATGCTAAGCGAGCGCTCTACCATCTGAGCTACATCCCCGTTCTGCAAATATATACTCATCTAAGCTACTAAAATCTACTTCAAGGGTTTGTTTGGCATCCCATTCAAAGTAAAGTGGAAAAAGAAACGTTTTCTTTAGACAGCTTTTTTCCACTTTTGCAAAACCCGCCGTTGGAAGGCAAAGCCAAAGATTTATTCGTTGGGGTGGTGTTGAATTGGAAGGGGCAGCGATATTAAATTATTAAATTTTAAAGAAAACTTTATGTGGCCGACCTAAATCAAGACACAGACACCTGTACGTTGCCTACCCACTACACGTCAAAATCTCCCACTAGTCTTTTCTCCTTTTTTTAAAAATCTTTATCTTTTCTTTTTTGTCCCGATATTTTCTGCACACACTCTATTGCATGTCTTTCGTGGGGCCGCCCTATGTCATTTATAGTTATGTAGGTTTCCCCATATGCCCTCAGTAATTCGGTATTATCTACGATCTTTTTTACTTGGAAAAAAAGTCCGAGAAAATAATTATATAACATGAAAAGATCCTTATTTTCTGGTTTTATCGAATACTACAAATTAACTCCACTTCTTCTACTAGTTTTCTAGTTATCTCAATTTAATCTCAAACAAATATTTTATAATTCTTTTTTACCAAACATGCACAAATTATAAAACAATAGAACATGAAGGCCAATATAGGTGTGGATTGAACTAGAAAATAAGTCAAATTATGCCGATAATAAGTGTAATTTAATCAATAATATTGATAAATTGTGTGTTACTCTTTACGAAGTATGAATAGAATGTTAGATTTAGATGAATATGAATTTGGATAACCGTTCTATAAAAGTATGATATTTTCTACATTTGAAGCCATGAAATAACACCCAAATTTCTACTTGGATCATAATTTATCTCGCAGATGATTATTAATTTGCCATGAAATTAGCCACCTAGACACCATGTCAATGTATAATCAAAATTTGGTACAAAACAAAATACTATGCATATTCCTATTTTTAACTCTAATGGCGTAAGGGCAAAGGAGTCAACTGACTCTCTGTGTCTAGGGACTAGACTAGACGAATGATGCAATGCCATTCTTGTAAATCCAGTCAAAATGAGGCCCACTTGTGTAACCATGATACATTATACAGTATTGAGGGAGCATGCAGTGCGCAGTACACCAGTAGTACCCGTAGGCTCTGTAGGTTTTTCTATATACAACTGTAGACAATCATTTCAGATTCGTGTTCTCTTTTCTCTTGTTCATACCTCTCCGGGGTTCAATTTCCCAATCTCCATTTTCATTTTGATCCCAAAAATATCAGACCTCAAGAAGAAGAAAGAAAGAGAGGAATCTTACTCCCTCTGATCTAAGTCATCTCCATCTCCCTCTCCGTCGTGACTTTACTGACAGTTTTCTCCTTCTCATTGGTAATTTTCTCTCACTTTCTCGACAAAATGGTCGTGGTAGTTAGATTCAGGTTGTGGAAAGTTTCATTTTTTTGTGGGCTTGGTGAAATCATTGTTAATCCGTTGCTGAAACTAATTTTCATTTTTAATTTTGTGATTTACAGTGATAAAGAGGATTTTGGCTGATCTGAATCTGATTCGGTTCTGGGGTCTTCGATTCGGTGGCTCTGTAGTTGAGTACTCTGTTCTTGTGCGGATCCTGTTGTCTAAGTTCGATTTGGATCTGTTGTGGAGAAGATCTAGAAGTTCAGTTGTGTTTTCGTGCAATTCGAACCCTAAAGTTGCAATCTTTTAGCATACAGTTTGAGCCCTGGAATTGAGTTATAGCTGTAGATCTAGTCGGTTGCTCTCAGAATCGTTCTAACTCGACCGAGTTATACTCGTTGATTCAGTGAATTTTTCATAATGGAAACTCTTCTTGTTGTGGCGGAGCCTAAGAACCAGTACTACAACCGGGTCAAGCCACACGGGCCTGCCCGATACGGCCCGTCTCCTTCGAAGGACTTCAGAGCGATCAATTGCCGGACTTTCCAATCCGGCACAGGTATACTCCCTACCCCATCGAAGAATTGCTCTACTCCTGTGTCCAAACGTGCATGCTCTTCTTCTTCTAAGATAACTACACCTAGTCCAAACAAGACACCTACCCTTAGTGTAGGTTCACAGTCTGATAGTAAAACACTTGGCAAAAGCAACCCAATTGCTATCAATGTCAAAAGCTCGAAGAAAGAAAAGCCTTTTAATGGAAGTTTTTCATTTTCTGAGCTCTGGGCTGGCCCTGCTTACTCCAACTCTCCCCCACCTAGTTCTCTGCCAATACCCAAGTTTTCAATCCGACCCAAGAGAACCGTGTCGCTTGAATTGCCAAGCTCAGCTTCTGATATGGAAATTCGCCCAACTCACCCAATTGCCAAGTCTGCACCTGCATCCCCAACTAGGGAGCATAGCTCTTCTGCAAGAGCCCTCTTTCATAATGCTGACTCTGCGACCAGGACTCTGCGTCGCATTCTGAATCTTGATGTTGACGATGAATGAAGAGCAGGGGAGCAGTAGGCTCCTGTAAATAAGTTTAGATTGTATATAGAGTGAATAAATTGGTTGGTAGTCCTGGGTTGTGATGAGTGTGTTTAGTTTTCTGTGGTGGTGCTACAATCGACAGTCTTGGCTGTGGTGGGTCAATGATCTCTGGATGTTGGATGTGGAGTTGGTCTGAGAGATGAATGCTTGTTTGGAAAAATGGGCGTGGTATGTGTACTGCGGGACTTATGACATGGATGGAACTGACCCAAAATTTTACGGAAGCAGAAGGGAAAAAGTTGTAGGCTTGTACTTTCGAAGTGGATGGTTGCCTACACTCTGGCATGGGATTGAGTAACTGGCTACTCTTTATGGAAGCTGAGGGAAACTACATTATACTTGAATATTGAAGTTCTGACTCTTAACTTTTCAATGTAATATCCTGACATATTTGCTAATTTTCGTTATCCCTGTAGAGTTAGGTTTAGGTCTCTAGTTCCGGTTACGGTTGTATATGCTTTAGAAAGTCAAAACTTTTCAATGTAATCTCCTGACATATTTGCTAATTTTCGTTATCCCTGTAGAGTTAGGTTTAGGTCTCTAGTTCCGGTTACGGTTGTATATGCTTTAGAAAGTCAAGTGGTCCTATCCATACAGAATTCTTTAGGTTTCTGCAGGTTTCTTCTTCATCTTTGCATCTTCGTTTCCTTGCATTTAGATTTAGTGTCTCTATAAATAGTCCAACACTGGTTAGTCTCTTTGTTCCTTAGTTAAATGTTGTTCCTATTGGCTGCCTTAATCTTCTTTCATTGAACTCTTGCTTGGTCTGTTATGGCCCGATTTGCCTTCATACTCTAAACATAACTTTCTTTACTTCTAATGACAATCTGACCCCTTTAACTACACTCTTATCAAGGGTGTTCTCCCCCTTCACCATCTTTTCTGGTTTTTAAGAAAGAAAAGAGGGAAGGGGCAGTGATTGTTGTTCTTTCCTACTTCTGCTTTGTTGCTTCTTCAGTTCATATCATAGGGTTGGTCAATCTGTGTTTCTCTGTTCTGTTTCATGTCTTGAGTTGGAATTGCGGTCCTCACATCGTTTTCATCCTTGGAGATTGTTGATCTCGCCTGGCCTTCAACAAGGTAATGCATCTAGTTTACTGTTCCACGTTATTGTTATACTATATACTCTTGTATAGTTTGATTCAGTAGTGACTGATTTCTTCTTAATATGTTTGAAGCAGGGTGCAAGTTGGAAAATTATTCAGGCGGTGGTTTCTTTAGCGGTTGATAATCTAAGTCCTTTTATCTGTAATAGTTCCTTGGACGAGGCAAATGCAATTCCAGTATATGGTCACCTGTGTCTAAGAATGCATGATGTCCGTCGGAAGCTGCTTGCTTTGTCATGTGCGCCAGGATCAGTGGAGTCAATATGTTGTGTCGAACAAATATCTGGTCTCCTTGTTTTATTGTCTATTTAAATTTCAGTGTTAAGTCTGTTTGGTATCGTCAATCTGAACTTGGATGGTATTGTGTTCATCTATTATCATCTTTAATTCTATGTAAGTTATACATTATGTTATCTATTTAATTATCATGGTACGATGTTTTGTTTTATTTATATTGAGGTATTGGGCCGTTTCATGGATTTAATCTGCAAGATGGTGCTGTTGGGAAACCTCGGAGTAGAATTCTTATTATTGGGATTTGAAACTTGACACTCATTCTCCAATGCATCTCGCGGAGAATTCTCAGGTCTAGTCACCCTGCTGAGAAAGCTTTGAGATTAAGGAGGCCAAAAAAGATGCAGATAGGAAACTCCAAGAAGTTGCCTAACCTATTCCACATTTCAGTGAACAAATGATTAGCAAATTCAATATCAATGAACAAGTGGGTTTATCATGATTGATTTACCCTCATATGAGTACAAAACGTGAATAACATTGTTTTGTTTTGCTATTATATGAGCACAAAACGTGAATAACATTGTTTTGCTATTTTCGGTCAATCATAGGATGTAAAGTATAAAGTTATCACGGTGTATATCATGATTGGTCAAAGGATAGCAAACCGTTCCACACAAGTGTCCACTAGCAAATGAATAATGATTGTCTTGTATTCAATTTGCTTGAGTTTATGACTGCAACTGTATTTTCTTTTTTACCCCTTCAATCATTGCTGTTCTGTTATTTGGAAAATTCTAACTTCTTGCTCTGCTCCACACAGAGGCGTGAACGAGAATAGGAGAAACTGGCTGATGAATGGTGGTGAATGAATTCATTAATACTTGCATCAAAAGTAACATTTGACAGACTTTTAGCCCAATACTTCTTTTTGTTGGATCCCTTTTACGCAGCCTTTAGCTAAGTCCTTTACCCCTTCTCTCCTCAGCAACACCAGAAACAGGGCCGCTTGGCTTCTTGGTCACTTGATTTCATCATCAGCTTTTTCCCATTTCAAGCTTTTCTTCCTTCCCTTTATAGTTTAACAGGGGAAGGGTTTGATTTGAATTGATTCTGCAAGCAGTTTGGCAACTAAGATTTTCGTTTATCTTATCAAAGTTCCCTAACAACTACTAAGTATTTAATTATCTGGGTCATCTGGAATAGGTCTTGAAAAGGAATTCAAGTTTGGATCCTTACCCTTTGTTTTAATTAAATTTTTTTATTTCGTTATCTTATCCAACTGTCACCGCTTAATAATTACTCAGATATGTTTATATGTCGTGTGCATGAATGAAATGAATTATCGGTCCCCTTTGTATGATTGATAAGAACAACACAAAAGTTGGGCAGGTTTCGAGTCATACATCATCACATACTGAAATTAGACCAAACAAAAAACAAAAGAAGAAGAAGAAGAAAAAATCATCTGCTATAAGTTCGAATTAAAAAAAACAGTGGGAAGACAAGAACCTCAGGGCAATGAAATAAGTCTTTAAATAAATAAAATAAACTCTACAGCAACAAACAAGAATATCTCATCCTCTCTTTATCTTTTATCTGCAGGGGAGGGGAGAGGGTAAAACTTAAAAAGCCAAAGACAAGATAAAAATTGAGATCTACCAGTTTTCTGGTCTCCAAAAATCATCAATGGGAAAACAGAGAGAACTCAAGAACAAGTCCTTATAGCATCATCAAACTCTGAGTTCCCAACTTCATCTAAGAGCATTTCTTGGTAGCGGCATTCACGACTGCAGAAAGCTTTCTCACCTCTGCATGACAAATCAAATGCAAATCCAATATGTTCATCTTCCATAGAACATGAAAAACATATCATTTCATAATTTCATTTGAAAACAAAAACAAGGGGTCATTGAAACAAACCTGTAAATGTAGATGTCGTTTTTCTGCTCAAGATTCTTCTTGCATGTGTAACAGAAGCTAAGGAAACTCACCGAGGCAGAGCTGGACTGATCCGATAAGCTATAGAAGCTTTCTACAATGCAGTTATCAAATATGTGGGTTGTTCTTGGATTTGGTCCACGAGATATCACACATGTATAATCTTCAGAAAGCTCCATTTCACTCACAGAGGAACACCCTGTGGGAGCCTGAGAAGAATTTGAATACTCTGTTTGGATGCCAGAGTTAGCAGACCCAATTGCTGATGATTGGGAATTCCGAGTCTTGATCTTGAAATCAGCCGGAGATTTCGGAGACTGAGTTGGAGAAAGAACAGAGGCTGGAAAGGGAGGGATTTGAACTTTAAGCTTAGTTCCAAACAGGACCTTCCCGCTGTTGGGTTTAGAAGCATTGTCTTCAAGCTTTTCATCATTGAATGTCTCAAGCAGAGCAAGGCCAATGCCTTTGGGCTCTGGTTTGTGCCAGGAACTTTTGTTTGCTGATACAACTTTTGGGGTTTTGGGTTGGTTTTGATCATATGAAAATGGGGTTGCAAAAGGAAATGGCTTGCTGTCAAGAATTGAAGTTGGGCTTATCAGAGAATCAGTTTCAGAATGACCCTTTATTGTGAAAGCTCTGAATCTTGGAGAACCAAAGAAAGATGGGGCTTTGGTGTAGTTTTTTTGAGTTGGAGATGATTGGGAGGTGTGGTCAGCCATTAAAACTTGCTTGCTGGTCACTGCTCTAGATCTATTCCTCAGCATAACTTGCTCTAACCAAATGATTCTAAGCCCCCAAAGAGTCAAAAAATTGATCACTGCCAAAGAGGTGAGAGAGAAATTAATCCAAGATTGCCATGAGAGAGATTGCAAAAATAGAGTGAAGCAGAGATAATAACAAAGAAAGGATACTGGAGAACTTACTCAAAATGATCAGAAAAATCTCACCAAGAAACCACTACGAATTGCTTCAGGTGATGGTCTCAAGAATCACCTTTTGAGTTCCAAAAGTAGACTAAATTAAAGGCTCTCTTTTTCTTCAACAAGCAAACTAATGCATGGCTCTACAACCATAAAACTAAAAGAGAAATAATATAATAAAAAAAGGGAGACTGAACGGCCTTCCTAAATCTCTGTAGCCTCCATGCCTGAATGCTAAAAAACAAGCAACTTGGTAACCTCACTTCCTCCTGTTTCTTTCAAGTACTGCAACATATTAAGACTCAATTTCCCACCAAGATTCATAGCAAACCGCATGCATGCCATGTGATCAAGGCAGACATATACAGAGCAACCCTCTATCTATATCCTCTGTTGTCTCAGGCAGAATTGGCATAAATGCTTTGCCACTTCCCATGACAAAAGAGCCATCATCACCATCATCACCATCAAGTAAATATGAAAGAAAAAAGAAATGAAATGAAATATAAAGCTCAGCTCCTCTCCTTTTCTTGGCCTCTCTTTTCTCTCTCTCTCTAAAATTTCACTTTCCTGGTAGTGGGTTTTGTATTCAGTTTCAATCCTGTAAAAATGAATTTGCAACTTGGCAAACAGAGAAAGTGAAAGAAGAGAAGGAATAGGCCCTCGGTTTTGAAGGGAAGAAAAAGAGTTGGGTTTGGATGTGCCTTTTAAAGAGTGAAAAAACAAAAGAGGGAGGCGTGTTTTTGTTTGCATGAGAATTGCTGGTTTTGACCACACAGACACACAGACATACAGCCTCAGAACCCATAAATTTAAATTTCCATTTAATAATAAATAATCTTTTGTATTTTTCTCATGCTAAATAAAATAATATACTCTCTTTCTGAACGGATTATATTTTGTCTTTCTTTGAGGAGTCTTCTCTCTCAGTTGGGTTTTTTCAATTTATTTTTTAGTTTTTATTTTGTCGTGATTCACTTGGACTTAGTGCGAGAAATAAAACGCACGCACTCATAGGAAATGCTGAGCTCACCCTAACGATTTCTCATTAATTTTTTTTAATCCACTAAATCACTATGCACAAATTATTATTGTTTATATTTACTGTTTTTTAATCCACTAAATCACAATTTTTTAATCTCTCACATGGATTATGGTGGAGCTAAACCTATAAGTCTTTGCGCATAATAAAAACCTAGCAGATTTTCAACTTTTGGGTTAATTTAAAATGCCTAATTTGAAGGTGGGGTATAGCTCAGTTGGTTGAGCTCTTACACCTTCATTCATGTTGGCAGATATTCGAAACCCCCATACACCGAATGAATATTTATGTAAACTCCCTCTCCCAATCGCTTATATTTTAAAAAAAAACCTAATTTTGCCTCTACCATTACCAAATTAATTATTGTTAGTTATACGTTATTTTTTTTATTTAGCTTTGGGACCTCAAAGTTTAATTACTCTGATAATAAATAATACAGTTTTATAAAGATCATGTATAACCTCACCTCCTGTTGTTTAGGGTAGCGATTTCGACACTCTTATTTCAGTCTATGCACTTCAAAATTGAATAATATTATCTTACAAGATTATCCTTCTTTTGGATAAGGATTAAAATATAATTTAACCAATTTTGTCTATAGTAAAAAAAGAAAATGATGTGTCAATTTTAGGGGAGTGGTGGAAGCTTGGATTGGTCCAATTGAGTGTGGGGCTTGCTTGTTTGTTAGCTCTCGAATAAGTGATTGGTGGGGCCAGAATAAAACAATGGGCGTGGCTTTGGGTGGGGCCTGCGGGGCCCACTGAAAGTAACGGGTAGCGATAAATTTTTGATTCTTTCACTCACAGGGTTTAATGCACTACCAGAGACGTACACTACACCATCGCCCCTCCCCCACAAATCCTTTGCCGTTGGTTACGTAAACTGGTGGGGCCCTTTTTTTTTAAAACTCCACTCAGACATCATCGCGATGCCTATCGTGGGCCCTACTTTGGGCCCTATTCCTTTCGCTTTGTAACCTTGACCCAACTCTTGGGCCCAATTTTTTAGGTTGTGGTCAAATGTGGGCTCCACAGCCCTCTACATTACTGCACTTTGTACTTCTAAACTCGGAAGGAGGAAGTGATCATATATGAGTTCAAGTTAACTGAGAAACAAATGTGATTATGGGAAACAAAATCATATAATTATTTGGATGGCACATTGGATTAGACATTTTGTTTTTCTTAACAGCCTATCTAAATTCTAATCATGGCTATAAAAAAACAGCCTATATCTAATCCACAATAAAGCAAAACACACACTAAAAAGAACAAAGCAAAGGTTGTTTATGAAGTTTGTTTCCCTAGCTTATTCAATAATAGATGTTTATGATCTTTATCCTCGAGGTAATATCCACTAATGACCATTAATTATTATCATCATAGAGAAACTGCTCATTTAACTTTTTGAATCGATGAATGTCGTTCATGAAATTGAATTTAAGGACAATTATATTATGAAGAGTGTTAGTGTTAGTCGCGCGTGGACGCGTGATGCTTTTACAGTTATTATTAATTGTGGGTCTTGTAAGAAGTCTTATATTGATCAACGATCAAAGTATACTTATGTCCACATGCGACTGATGTTAGCACAATTCTTTACATTATACTTTCAAATAAACTTTATGCATAACTAATGAATCAGATCGACGATGAACAACAAAATATTTCAACAATAGCATGATCAAGATTCCACTTACTATAACCTAATTAGCTCTCACCATGATTGATGTAGAAGAAGTAGGTGGGGGAAATATAGAGCTCCTAATAGTGATCTGACCCACACGCTCAGCATCATCCAATTCGGGGATGGATAACGAACCACTCCAGACGTCTTCATCGATGGAGTTAACACAGAAACGACCCCACAAATGCTATCAAACGTGTTGAAGTCAATATCATCATGCCAAACCAAGTGCCATTACATGATTTCAAACAAGATGATGT